TTAAATTGTTGTGCCTGTCTGGTATGTAGTTGGGCAGCTCTGAATGCCTGTATCTTTTCATCATTCTCTTCGCTGTCTCTTGCTAGCACCATTTGAATTTTTTTGCCCAGCTCAAAGCACTGGTTCTCTAGTTCATCAAACAGTTTCTTAGACACACCCAGGCTAATGTGAAGTCCAGGAGCACAAACCTGAGATAGAGAACCATTTAGTCAGGTGTCCTGTAAGTCCCTCTTCAAAGCAATAAAATAAGCTCTTGTATCTTACTTTGTCAAATTCAATGTCCAGCTGTTTCTCGTGAATCATATTGTGATAAAACTTCTGTCAACTTGTCACAGAGCCATCTGCTACAAACTTATCATAATCCTCTTGAATGTTTTCAAGGCTTCATTTTTCAGCATGCCCACATTTATGGCAAGAGACTTGTGGATATTTGCCTGCAAATACAATTGTCATGGTGGAAACCTGTTTCACAGAAATAGTAATGTAGAGTAGAGGCTACATTTACATTCTTTTACTGAATTGCTAAATCATAATTATTTGTATATGTGAATTATTGTCTAGATCTTATACTGAGGCACCAGCTACTCCAAATAACTTGCATAGGAATTCATAGTCACCAAACAAGAAAACCACTTTCTTTTTACCTCTAGAAATGGACAAAATGAAAAGAAGAATTTAATTAATATTATGCTATTTCAAGTCTCTATTCTCTAGACTAACTAAAAGTGTGGTACATTTTTTTTTACTTATGCCCAGGTTGCTTCTTTCAAGGTGTTTACTTGTTCTTTATATTTCATTAAAGCTGTCTTTAAATTAGTCCAACTATCTTTTGCATGGAACACGGCAAAGACCACTGATTGTGATTGATTTTACTTTTTTTTAAACTATTTCTTTATTATCATAATTATCCTACTTTTCATTTTCAACCAGATGAAGCTGTATGAATTGGTTCAGGTCTGTAACATAACCAAACTCTGCTTCGCTGACCTCTGCATGGCAACCTGGTTTTTTTTAATTCAAATGGGACAATTTCACAAACCAAGTTGGCAGGGTCAGTGATGGACTGAGCTTGCTTTTTGTTGGCTTATTTCACTCTCTGAGGATAGTTCCCACTGATCAAACCATCTGTAGAGACATAATGGTTATCATAATTTTGTAAGCAGATTGAAACAAGTTGAAATCAATAAGGCTGAAGTACAGACAAGCCGTGGATACAGGAAAATGTAGTGGACATGGATGTGTCATGTTACTGTACTACAAACTTTGGGAAAGTATATGGGAAGGATCTCCAGCAACACAGCAGCTTACACAGCAGCTTGCAAGCGGCCTTGAAAGTGGAGATATTACAGCAACTTTGCAAGCAGATGGTGATGCTGATATAGCAACAGCCTCCTCAGAAAGCCCCACAGATACTTCAGGTAAGGAAAGTGATGTATCAAATAATGATTCATTAACAGAATCATAGTCACTGCATGTGAAGCAAAGGAGGAATTTGCTCGACAACAAGCTGAATAACTATAAACAGGAAAAGTTAAAAAGGAAGCTTCCAAAATATGGCCAGTTGCTTGAGTATGCGAAAGAAGACATTGAGATGAAAAAGCGACTCGTGAATCATATTGAAATAATGGAAGAACATTATCAGGACTGTGACGAACGTTCAGCAAGCGAACTGAACTGAAATGAACTGAACTGTTTTGTTTTGTGTGATTATTTACTATCGTTTTAATTCTATTATCGTTTCATTGTTCATTCTTTTAATCATTTATCAGGGCATATTTGATCATGTTATTAGCCGCCTATCATGTTTAAAGCCTGTTGCTTACATAATCTCTGTAGTATCACATATCGGAGTGTCGGAGTAAGTTGTCGGGGTATAACCATCTAGAGTTTTCTATCGGAGTTATTGGAGTTTTCGGAGTAACTGGAGTCACTTTCCACGGAGTTTCTTTTACCCTTTTTACGCAGGATCAAACGTGAGTTTCCTTTGTACATTTAATCGCCTTTTTTATCGTTACATTCTTTTGTAATTTCCATAGAATCATTTCTGATTACGCAATCATAAATTTCCTTTTAGTTTTCACCGCATTGTAACACGTCGTACTCAATAAAAACTGGAATGAGACGGATGTGTATATGTGGTTGACACTCAACGTAATCCCAACACTTGGGTACGCGACAAGGACAACATGGCAAAAATGTCTGCCAATATGGAAAAACTTTCTTACAGTATTGGTGCTGGATTTTCTATTTTACCAGGATTGCTTGTACCTCAACAAAATATGCTTTCACAGCAGCAAATGTGTGGTTTGTTGTCCTTGCCAACTTCTGCTAATTTGTATAGTCCCTATTCTCAACATGTCAGTGAAACTCCTGAAATCTCAGGTATGTGAAAATATGGCGAACCCCATCTGAAGACTTCACCTAGATGTTGGGGACAATT